GTACCTGGACGAGATGCCGTGCACCCTGGACCCGTACAGGACCCCCCCCGGGGGAGGCCAGGGAGCCCCGGGAGCGGGCGCCGGCCTCCGGGGCAAGTCGGAGGTCGATGTCGGGAGGGGAGAAAAAATGCGCAGAGACACCATTCGTCGTCGACTCCCAGGCAGAAGAGATGGGAAAGTGTGGGCAGTGGGGGGGGAACACGAGGGTCCAGAAGGTTATGGGGGAATCCTTTTTGTTTGTGTGTGTCTTTATTTGTGTGTCCCGAGGCCCCTTCGTGATGGACCTCCTCCTCCTAAGTCAAGCAGTGGCGAAGCGTCCCGGCTCGCCCATAGCCCCACCAGACAGTGTTCTAGGAACTGTTTGTGGTTCCCACGACATGTTCTTAGAACGTTTCTGGCTAGGGCTGTCTTGTTTTAACACGTCGGGTTTATGTTCTAAGAACATTGCTTTTGCTCTTAGAACATTTCTGGGTTCTGAGAACATTTCGTGGTGTGACTATAGGAATGCCGGGGCGGTCGGTCCCTGCTCAACCTACCCTGACACGTCGACTAGCGAGTTGGCCGTTTTCGGTTCGCGAGAGGGCGTCGCGGCCGACATTTTTGCAGGCCCAGGTCCGTCGGTCTCGGTCCCAGGCCGTTTGCACTCGAGGGGAGGTTTACGAAAGGGAGGCTTGTCCGCTTGTCCACCGCCGAGGCAACGTCAGGGGGATGGGCCCATGGCGGCATCGCACCGACCCCCAGTCGCCATTCCTCGCCGACCGGGGGTGCCTATCGCCGACCTATCGGCGATGTATCGCCGATTCCAGCTCAACATGCCCACCCCCTCAGCCGCCCCCCTCCCCCTGCGGCAGGTTCGCGTCGTGTCAGCCAGCGGCGTTCCCGCCGATGGCGTTCAGCGCTGAACGCCCTCGGCCCATCGTTGAACGATCTGACGTTGCAGAAACGGCCGATCGTTCAAGGTTGAAGGACCCCGCGGTGGCACAAACAAGCGCCGAAATCGGCACGACGCCAACCTGCCGTACCCTCGCCGATCAACGATTCAGGCAACTCGATGGGCGGCGGGGTAGGGTTCGGAATTCCTCGAGCACGTGGCGAAGTCGGAACCCTTCCCCCGCCTCCCATCGATTCAGGAGGATCGGTGCTCGGCGGGGGTAGGGTTCGGATGTCGCCACCTACCCGCCCCTCTGCGGTCGGGACCTTCTGGATTGCGTGTCGCTCCGCCAGTTCTGGCCCACCTCGTCTTAAGTCGGGCCTGTCCCTCTACAGGGGCGATGTTCAAAATTGTGAAAAATTAGTCTGGGAACGATTTGTTGACTATTTTTGCTATTTTGGAGGTACTTTTTGAGTATTCAATTGCTTTGCTCATTCCGCCGGCCCATGTTGCATGATCGCTACTGCTTCGCCGTGGGCCCAGGGCCATTGTGGCGCCGCCGAGGAGGAGGAAGATGAGGATGGGGAAGGGGAGGGGAGGAGGAGGAGAGGATGAGAAGGAGAGGATGAGGATGAAGATAGGTAGGAGGAGGAGGAGGAGGAGGAGGAGGAGGAGGAGGAGGAGGAGGTGGAAGAGGAAGAGGAAGGGGCGGAGGAGGAAGCCTCTCGTTTGGCATCTTGTGTTGCTCTTGGGGCCAAACAGGGTCGTCGTCAAGATGCTTCTTTGGGAGCCCTCTTGGGGTCTTTAAAGAAGCTGTTCGGGGGCGCCTGGGAGGCATTTTTGAAGCCTTCTGGGGCCTCTTTTGTGCCTCAAGGAAGATTCTAAAATAGTTAAGAAAATAGTCCGGGGACTGCGTTTTGAGTATTATTCGACCATTTTGGGGCATTTTTGGGGTATTGTTTATTTCTCGTCGAAATTCCCCTGTAGGGGAACATGCCCGACCTAACTCTACTACCGGTGCCGTTCATAATAACGACCATCGGCATAATACAGCGACTTGTCGGCATTTGTGGGTTTGTATGTGGCCGCACCTCCTTGCTCAAGTTCTTGAGGGAATGCAGGCATTGTTCGAACGCCTCACGCACGATCTCGCAAGTGCCCTCTCCACAGCTCTCATCGTCCGAGGCAGTTCGCCTCCGTGTCCCGCCTGTGATTGCGTGTGCTCGCCCGCGCTGCACTGTCCCGCGCTGGAGTGCCGCTGCCCAGGCGGCTTGGGTGCGGTGAACGCCGCCCCCTCGGCGGCCGAGGCCGCGGGCTTCTCGGGCACCGCGCTGAGCAGCTCGCTGCTCCTCGGCGCGCTGGGTGGCTGGGCGCTCGCCCGCTGGGCCTCGCGCTGCGCGGCGCCCTCGACTCGGGGTAAGCCGTTCGCGCTGGAGGCAGACGTGCGCACGACCGACCTGGCGGCGGAGGCGGCGGCGCAGGCTGCGCGCTTTCGCAGAGCGTAGTCTTGATGGCGACGCCCGCCGCTGGCCAGTTCCACCTGGTGAGGTACAACGTGGGAGGCCCTGCGATCTACCACGAGCGCTTGACGCTGTTTCCGGGGTACATTCTCACGCCCGACGGCGATGACTACGCTGAGGTCGCCATCCCGAATCACGACATCCGATCGATTCACATTCTCAGTGGCCAAGGTGAGGGATACCGCCTCAGCATCTGTATCTGTTTCGGCAGCTGCCTCGGGCCGCTGAGGTGTGGGTGGCGGTTCGCCGCGCGACGGCCCAGGGGTTCGGAGCGACGCCTGCGTCGCCGTTCTGCATCGACCTGAGTGCCACCAACGTGATGGGATTGGCCGCTGGCGCGCTGCCGCTGCCCGACCCTGCAGCCGTCGCGCCTGGCGCGGGCGCTGGGGCCCTGGCGCCTGCGGGGGTCCCTGGGTTGCCTGGCGGCGCCGCCCCCGCGGCGGGCGCCCTGCCGGCTGCGGGTGCCGCCGCCGCGCTGCCCGCCCTCGGCGGCCCTGCAGCTGCTGGACCCCCCGCTGGAGCTGGTGGAGTCGGCGCCCCGGCGGCCGCCCTCGGTGGCGGAGGAGCTGGAGCGCCAGCCGCCGCGGCTCCAGTGCCTGGTGCCGCGCCCGCCGCCGCGGCGCCGCCCCTCGTCGGAGACCCGCGGGTGATGGCGCTGGTGCTCGACGGCCGCGGCTTTCGGGACATCACCTTCAGCGACGCGGTGAAGCTGCAGACGGAGACGGTGAGGGCCGACTGGCCAGTCAAAGGCCCTCGGACGCTGCTCTGGGTCCTCGGGTTCATGCTGCGTGTGGCTGGAGGTGCTATGGCGTGGCACAACATATGGATCGCGATGACGCAGCTAGGAGAGTCCGACGAGAACGCGAAGCTCCACGAGACCTTATGCCGCGTGATAGAGACCGCCCTCTGCCACGACCAGCTGGTGATATGCGAGCTGGCCTCGCACGAGTACCTCGCCCGTCAGCTTCAGTTGGTAGAGGAGCGCGCGTTCGAGGAGCGCGCGCGCAGGAGCCAGCCCGTGCCGAAGGCCAAGGCTCAGGCCAAGGAGCTGGGGGCTGCCGACTTCGGTTCAGAGGTCGGCCACTTCCTCGGCACGGGAGAGACGAAAGGGAACCTGTGTATCTGTCCTGCTTTGATGGATTGGACCGCCGATCAGATGAGGATGGAAGCAGCTGTCGCGAAAGAACGCCGCAAGGCTCGTGAGGAGCGAGCCTTGCGGGCGCCATGACACCCCCTCAGGACCCTGGCCAGGATGGGCCTCACGAGCCTGTTCCCGTCGCTCGTAATCCTGGCCAGGATTGCCCAGAGGCCCTCGTGCCTCCGCCTGGTCTGGACGCGCCCACACGTGGTGCCGATCGCCAGCGCGACGTTTTTCCGCTACCTCGTCTTCCTGTGGATGGGCGCCGCCATCTTCCGCTGGGCCGCGCTGCACGTCTACGCGCTGCCAAAGGTGCGGGCTGGCGCGAGTGGTGCAACGAGGGGTTCACCGCTCTCAACTGGCTCCATAGTGGCCGCGACGCGGAGCACCTCCCGCAGGTCGGTGGCGACCCGCCCGCCGTGCAGGCTGCCTCGGTGGACTACCTCTCGAGCCTGCGTCGGGAGTTCGAGCTGCCTGCCGCCTGCTCGGAGAGGAGCAGCGCCTGCGAAGCATCCCTGGTAGAGATGCTCGCTCAGGCTCCTGTCTACGCTGGTGACAGCGGTCGGGTCCGCCCCTACAGCCAGCCTCTCGTGGCCTGGCCCAAGTCGACGAAGGCTGTGTCCACCTCCGACGTCGTCTCGGATGCCGACTCCATCGCGCTGCAGGGTTGGAGGCAGACTATGCTGAATTCCGAGTCGGTTGCTGCGGAGCTCCGCGACGCGCTGGGCATTCAGCGCCCGTGCGTCGATCCCGAGCTTCGCTATCAGCCTAAGTCTTACGCTCAGTTTTTGAAGCAGCTGGAGGCTCACGACATGATATCATGGAGAGCCGCCAGCCCCCTGTCTTCTCACACAATCGGTTTATTCTTCGCGGAGAAATCCAATCACATGCTTAGGCTCGCGTTCGACACTAGGCTGGCTAACTGCAGCTTTGCCACGCCGCCAGCCGCCAAGCTTCCCACGCCCAGTGCGTGGGCCAGCGTCGATTGCGACGACAGCTTCGTTTTTGCACAAGGCGATATTCAATGTGCCTTCTACCACTTGCGCCTGCCTCCAGGGATGGAGTCGCTGTTCTCGCTGCCCGCGATCTCCAATCGTCACATCGGCCTCGCATCGATTAATGTGAGGCCCGTCGGTATCCACGATTTTGTGCAGCCGTTGGTCACAGTTGTTCCCATGGGTTGGAGCTGGGCCCTTCACTTTTGTCAGAGCGCCCTCGTTCGTGCCTTAACCGGCGCTGGATTCGACAGTGATGACATGATCGTGGACGGAGGATGCCCCCGTAAGCTAATCTCTCACACCGACGCCATATGTGCTGGATACGTTGACAACTTCTGCGTTGTGTCAAAAAAACCTGAGATTGCCACTCGCCGTGCTCGCGAGGTCGCCGACCTTCTAACGTCCCGAGGCTTGCCTGTCCTGGAGTTCTCGGAGGCCGTCAGTAAGGGCGTCTTCACGGGCTTGCAGATTGACGGTCTCTCGGGTGTCGTTCGAGTTCGGCCCGATCGCCT